CCCCAAAACCCCAAAACCCCAAAACCCCAAAACCCCTTCAAATTTCTCACAAATTGAACCAAAACATTAAATTTTATCATTAAAAGGGAGTTAAATACAATTCAAAAATCCCTCAACTAACCTCTATTATACAAAAACCGTACCATACAGCACTACATCAGGTCAAGCCTCATCCATTGTACCCCAGCTTCTTCTCACCAAACAGCCCTAAATTCCCCCTCTAAACCCCCTCCCCACCACCACTTTCCCCTTCCTGCCGTCCTTCTGACCCCTTCAGTACCGCTCCTTAGCCCCACCCAAAACTACTTAAAGTCAGGTTTTAACTGAGCCCAAGTCCTGGGCGTAGTCCTGGCTTGGGGTGTAAGAGTAGTAGCGGAGAGGGGAGAGGAAGGGGCTAAAGGGGGATTTTGGGGGAATCGGGGGATTGGGGGGGTTAGAGGTTATTGGGATTGGTGAGGTGGGTTTAAAGGGGTTTATAGGTGAGGGAATTTTATTAGTTCATTTTTCTGCCTATTACTTTCTGGTCTTTATTATCACCAGTACTTCACTATTTTATAAGTTTTCTAGTACTGATATTAAATTAAATTACCAGATCCAACAAAATCTATGAAGAAACTATACTTACAAACCATCCTGTCCAAGCAGTAAACTCTCTAAAACACACCCTACACCCCTCCCTCCACCCCCTTCCACCCCTCCACCCCAAACCCACTCCTCTCCATCCCTCTGCTACAGTCCAACCCCTCGTCTCTAAACTTACCAGTTTAGAGCTCTGAAGGTAACCCTCAACTGTAAAAATAAGGTTATGAGTGACTGGGTTCTACTGTAGGGTTTTGGGGGATGGGGGAGTCAGAAGGGGAGTTTACGGGGAATAGGTGGATTTTGGGGTTTTGGGGTGATTTTTAGGGGGTATAGGGGGCAGAGGGTATGTATGGGGATGTAGAGATGGTTATTAGGTTGGGTGTAGAGTTTGGGGGTTGTTGTGAAGGAGGTAGGTTAGGTGTAAGAGGAGGAGGTATGGCTTGCTTTGGTTCGAATCATAAGCTTATTTTGGTAATCTTCTCTCAGAAATTTTAATTATTCATTGTTTTGTGTTTCAAGTCCTTGCTTTGGGCATTTCTCTAAAAATACTAATAAAGTTAGCTTATTTAACTAGTCTTTGACTATGTAGACTCAGACAGTCAAGATATTTAGGATTTGATCTCAATTAATTTAAATTAAAGGCGAACTTCCGGCCAAATTATCACTACCTTTTCGAGGTATCTGGATAGTGCGCTTAGAATCTTTGGATAACTCCCCTTATTTTACTTTACTAGCTAACTCCTGCATTGATGAAGTTGTGAAGGGAAGCCTTAAGTGATCATTTCATAGATCAAACAGTCAAGGAACCAGATATCACTTCTGTTATCATATGGCTTGTTCATCCATACTTCAGGTGATGCGTAGTAAGGAGTTCCTGTTTGAATGTGCACTAGATCCATCTTAGCAACTTTTGACACATTTAAATCACCAAGTTTAACAGTTCCATCCTTATTCATGAAGATATTAGCCCATTTCAGATCACGACGGAGGATCTTATTCTTATGGAGGGCATCAAGTCCCTTGACTATTTAAATCAAAGTTTCCCAAATTTCTGCTTCAGAGAACAACTTTTTTTTCTGTTCTACGATTCTCTGGTATAAATCTCCCCCATCACAGTACTCCATGACAATACAGAGAATGGAGAATTCTCTTCTAAGAAGCACTCTTTATAAGAGATAATATTGGGATGTTTGACTGATGCCAATATACGCACCTCGTTCAGTGCATTTTCTTTCTCCTTCACAGGCTAATATTTTTGTGAAAATGTTTTAAATTATTCAATAAAGCATGCCAAGCCAGGGGTTTTGGGGTTTTGGGGTTTTGGGG